CGCTGCGCGGAGGGAGGCAGCCGCTTCCTGCCGGCGCTTCTCCGATACTTCCTCCTTCGGTCGGCTCCTGAGCGGTCGCGGTCAGAAGATGAGGGTCTCCAGCGGAGTGGGGGTGCCCCCTGAGGAGACTGCTAGGGCGCCGGACGCGAGGTGGTCTTGGGGAGAGGAAAGGGGCTTGGGTGTCTTGCCTGTAGCAAATTAGAACAGGTTTGGGTGAAGAGCCGGGAAGGACTTGCCTTCAGCCCCCGCTTGGCACCGGGGTTCAGGATTTACTTACTGTTGCGTTGATTGACAAGGAGGAGGATACCTATCTCCTACCTCTGGACGAAAGAAATTTTTACCCAAGGCCTAAATGAAGGAAAGAGTATTCCAATTCCCCATCTATAGTTTCGAGAAAGATGTACGGTAGTTATGAAGAACTAGTTTCCGTTCTACCTTGTCCTCCCCCCACCCCAAGCGAAACTTTTAAACCGTACCTTTTTTTTTTTTTTTAATCCGATTGTACTTAAGGGGCTGTTTGAACGAAAGGTGTATTTAACTTTCAGTATTACTAGAGCATCTGGAGGAAAAGAAAAAAGAAAGAAAGAAATCTTAGGAAAGGGTGACTTTAGGCATCTTTTAAAAAGCACCACCTTTCCCAGAATTTATTCAGAGAGAAAAATCTTTCCTGTCTTCTGGCAACTGCAGTCCAAAAAATACACTACTAAGGCAACGGTGACAATTAGGACAGAAATTACTTAAGGCTGAAGAATCTTAATACCTAATACCTTATCTGTGTGATGAGGCTTGCTACTGTTTATTCTAAATCTCACTGTTTAAATGCTTCTACATTTCATTGTTTTTGTTTACTAGTTTTAAAGGCAGTGGTAAACCTTAATGAAGCAGAAAGTGTTTTTGCGGGACTAAAACATCTTGTTTTCCCTGTTCTAGAACAACATTTTTATGTTAAGACTAAGTATGGTGTTTTTTAGTCAACCTTCTGTTACATCATTTTCAATGGGTATCATTCTCAAAAAAAAAAAAAAAAGGTTTTAAATAAAACTAAGAACTGCCGCCACTCACTCCCTCATACAAATGTTGGCTCTTTATTTTTAGCTAGCTATAAATTCAGGTACTCCGGATGATATGCTTTATTAGGAAACTAACCTAATGATGTCATTATAATAGCATATTGCTATAATTCTTTGCCTTTGTTGCAGTAAGCTGTAGCACAGTAATTTGACTCTAGTAGTTAATTATTACAGATGTGATCTCGTGCTTTTGATTTGCCAAGTGTTCATGTATATGAGGTTTGATTTAAAATCATTTACCTGATGATGAGTTTGTATAGCAGGAAGATTGTTCTAAAGTGATTCTCTTAATGCTTTTACTAGTAGATTTTTCAGCGTTAGGAATTTTTGTTAGCCTGAAAATAATCCTGGTTTTATAACCATGCTCATCTTTAAGATAGAAAATCTGGTAACGTTTGGAAAAAATGGCTTCAAATGAAAACAACTAAAAGGAAGAATCAGAAGTTCTGTGGTTAATTTATAAGGCAGCTGTCTTACTGGAATGGTTAACAAGTTGAACAAGTTGCTGTGCATTTAAAAAAAAAATGCTATCACTGACATTTAGTTGCTCACCTTACTGGTTTTACTTTTAAGTTATCAGATCTTCTAAGTATGTAATCAGACCTGTGCCAGTGTTGGGCTTTGTATCTGTGATTAAGTTTGTGTAGTCACTTAAATTATACATTCAAGGCAGTGAATACATAGAGTAATGAAAGTATATTTTACTATCCCAGTGACAAACAGCTATTCTAGCTATTCAGTAATAACTAGAATTAGTTACTACATCAAGCAAGAATTGTTCAATTCAAAGTCTAGGTTATACTTCCATTAGCTCAATTGGTTTAGTCACCATGTACTTTAGCGTTAGGTTTATTTTAAAGTTTAAAAAAATGAAACAAATTTGGGGAAATTAAAAATCACAAGGAGTTACAAGCACACTTTATTCATTGTATGAATCCTGATTTTCAGCTACTTATATTGTCTCACTTAAAAAAAATTACAGAAACAACTCCTATGCTCCAGTTACTTCTAAATACAAAATATTTTTAATATTTGACATCATGGAAAAATCAAAGGTTGAAATAAAGTTAGTATTTTCCTTGGGAAAGTGGAGAAGGAAAAGACTTTTTTTTAAAATTCCTTTTTCTTTCTCTTTTGTTCTCTGTTTTTGGTTCACAATATTCAAATTATTTTAGGCTAAAAATTTTTCTCACTGTGTCTTTCTGGTAAAGTTTATATTATTCATATAGTATACACATTTTCAGTAGCATAGTGTATAACTCCTTTTACAGTTGACAGGACCTTGATTGTAATAATGGCAATACCATTAGCTACCCACTGAATTCTACTATTTAGAGATGTATGGTAGCTATTGACTTCATGTGGATGTTAAAATTAAGATGTGAATTCATGTAACTATTGGCCACTATATCAGTCAGTTCAGAGCAGAATATTTTTATTATCAGAAAATTCTATTGGAAAGCTCTGATGTAGACTTTTAAATGAAGGTTTTTGTCAACATTTATTTTAGTTGACACATAATATTTCTTTATAGGGGAGTATAACACTGTGTATTCATAATACTTAGTGTGTGTAGGTAGTCTAATGCACTAAACACTGGAGGTACACATGGAAATCAGTGAGGACCTTACTCTGCTTAGTACCTTACATTTGTCGTACTATAGGCATTGAGTATGTGTTTGCTGAATAAATGATGAACATGTGAATAAAAGAATGAACTCTATTATTTCTGGGTTTAGACATAAAGTGACAAAATTCAAGATTGACTAGAAGAAAACTAGAAAATAACTAACAATGCAAAAGCACAATTTAATATGTCATATTAGGATAACTGTTTCTCCACTTTTTTCATAAATATAGTCCCTTTAGATTTATATTGGAAGGAGCCTGATAAGATTGTTTTTGCTTCACTGGGAAAAATGGGAGCTCTTAAAGAAAACTCCCTCATTTTCTGTTCTTTTGCCCCTCACATTCAGCATACTCGGTTATACCTGTTATACCTATGTTTAATTCGTCCCTTGTCCACCTGTCACAAAGGAAGGTATGGTCCTTCTCTTCTACAAGTAAGTCATTCCCCTTGTGCTTTTGATCCTATTCTTTCATCTGCTCTCCGCTAATTACCATTAGAATATTTGTTGTTTCTCTTTTCTTTTAACCTGTAAATATGTTCAATCCTCCCTCTGCTATTTTCTTTGCCCTATACCTATAACTGCCAAAATCTTTTTAGTTAAAAAAAAAAAAGTCTATTCTGAATAACAGTGCCATCTGGTACACTTGCAATGTGGTTAATTCAAATTGAGATCATCTTTAAGTATAAAATAAACATTGGGTTTTAAAAACAGTATGGAAATGTAAAATATCTTGTTATAATTTTATGTTTCCTTTTCTTTTTATAAAATATAGTTACTAGAAAATTTTAAAGTATGTATTTGTCTTGCATGTGTGACTCGTGTTAGATGTTTATTAGTGCTCCTGTATGCCATTAAAAGTGAGCTTGTGTTTCTGTATAGCACATTAAGTGGAGAGGTCTCATTTACTAGACTAGACTATAAATATCTTAGAACAAGGACTGTATATTACTTGTCTCTATATCCTTGCACTCAAGGAGGAGCTGGGTCCTTGTAAGTATTCACCCACCAAATGCTGGTTTAATAAAATTGAATGAGTTTAATTCAACATCAGTTTGGAATTATTATACTTTGTCTCTCTCCCAGGTAATGAATAACAACTATTTTAACCTCAAGAATGAATGTTTAAGAACATAGTTCTTTGAACATATGCTTTTTTATTTCAGTGGTCAGACATATATTCTTTTTTTTAGTTGTAGATGGACACTATACCTTTATTTTATTTGTTTCTATTATTATGTGGTGCCAGGGATTGAACCCAGTGCCTCATGCATGCTAGGCAAGCATTCTACCACTGAGCCACAACCCCAGCCCCTAGACATATGTTCTTAAATACTCAGTTTTTTATTTACTGGGGGGAGGAGTGGTAAAGCAGTAGAGCAACCACATATTTCTAGCAGCACTAAAGTAGAGACCTTGTTCCAGATCCTCCAAAGAACCTTATGAATTACTGTTATTGTCATTAATATTTTTTAGACCTATGCTGTCCAATGTGGTAGCCACATATGACTATTGAAGACTGGAAATGTTCCTACTTCGAATTGAAATGTATTAGAAGTGTAAAGTACACGTGAGATTTTGAAGATTTAGATTGAGGGGAAAAGGATCTAAGCTCATTCATAATTTTGTGACTACATGTTGAAATTATACTGGGTTATATATATATACAAATATGGCTAAATAAAATGTATTACTAGATTAATGTTACTTATTTACTTTTACCTGTTTTAAAAGTTGAAACTAAGGAAATTACATATTTGAACAGCACTGTTTTAGATTGTGGTGATTATATGTAATCTCTTTCATAGGCAAATTCAAGAAAGTTTTCACTTCTAAGGACTTTCTGATTTCACCTATGCTTTTTTCCTGTAAGTTTTCTATTTCTAGAGTGTTGGTCTTGTTATATTCAAGAGACTACAGGCTGCCTGATACATTAACCAATGTGTATAGAAGTTCTGGTCTACACAAGGGAAGAATTGCTTCTGGCTCTAGTGGGGTTCTAGACAGCATCTAACCATGCTGTTCTTCAGTTTGTTTCTGAAGTTGAGTGTTAATCATTCTAAATAAGATAATATTCATGATTAGCCTATTTTTTTTGTTTTACCAGAAATGCATATTTCTTTCAAAATATTAAAACTGAACTCTTGATATTTGAACTCATAGGCATGTTAGATTTTATTCTAAGGAATTCTTTGTCTTTTCCTGAAGTTCTTCTATTATAAAATTTAGTATAACAAACGGGTAATCTTCCTAAGATTTTTATATGGGAAATACTAAGAGATTTATTTTTATGCCAGTAGTTCTGGTTAGAATACATATATTTGCATTTTAATAATTCTGTGTGTGTGGTTGTAATGGAGTCAGTAAACTTTCCCCAGTCTTGCAAATGAGGCATGCATTGAATTTTTGTTGCTTCTTATTGCTTGGAAATGGCTGTGAGGGAACTGTCTGA